GGCAGTTAGTTTTTTTTATTAGCTTTATTAAATTTTCTATTTTTTGTGTTCTCTTTGCTCTTTAGAGGAGTTCTCCATACAATGGTTAAGTACTCAACTGCTAATGAAAAGGTTGGATGTTTAAATGCTCCATGGAAGAAGATGTGACATAGGATTTTCCATAGTTCCATAGTATTTTATACCTCTTTTTAAAAAGCGTTTATTTTTTTAAAATTAATTGTAGTGAAAGTTTACAGAGATTTGGGGTTTCTAGTCATTCATTGTTGCACTTTTCTCCCTGCCCACCTCCTCTCTCCCAGTTCACTCTTCTGCACTCTCTCCCCCCAAGGCCACTCCACTATGCAGCCTTCATTCTGGACTTGTGTAATGACAATAATACCCAATTATATATCCCTGTTAAACAGTTCTCTCCCTCATCGGTTTCAATGCAGTATACATCATCCCTCTCCTCCTTTTCTGTCTTCCCTTCAACCCCAATGTCAGTCCCATTTTACAGCAGCGGCCCTATGCAATATTTGTCCTTTTGTGACTGAGATACTTCCCTCAGCATAATGTCCTCCAGGGTCATTCATTTTGTGTAATATTTCATTAGTTCCTTGTTGGTTTTTTATTTTATTTTATTAATTTCAATGAAAATTTATGAATTTCTGTTCATTCATTGTTGCACTTTCCCCCCCTCCCAACTCTCCCCCCTACTACACTACCCTCTTGGAAAAGTAAAAGAAAAATTCTTTCATTGTTTTACAATCCCTTTCCCCAGGTCCACTCTACTATGCAGCCTTCATTCTGGACTCCTGTCATGACTGTAATACCTAATCATATATGCCTTTTTAACAGTTTTCTCCCTCATGTGTTTTAATACAGTATACATTATTGAACCCATCTTTCTCTGTCTCCCCCCAATCCCAATGTCAGTTCTGTTTTACAACAGTGGCATTATGCAGTATTTGTCCTTTTGTGACTGAGATATTTCACTCAGCATAATGTCCTCCAGGGTCACCCATTTTGAATAATATTGCATGAGTTCCTTGTTTTTCAATGGAGCATAGTATTCCATTGTGTGAATATACCAGAGCTTCTCTATCCATTCATTTGTTGATGGGCTCTTGATTTGTTTCCAACTCCTTGCTGTTGTGAACAAAGCCACAATAAACATGGGTGTGCATGAGTTCCTTGTTTTTCAATACTGCATAGTATTCCATTATGTGAATATACTACAGCATCTCTATCCATTCATTTGTTGATGGGCACTTGGGTTGTTTCCAGCTCTTTGCTATTGTGAACAAAGCCACAATAAAGGATTTTATAGCTTTTAAAAGTCTGTGGGGCCATTCACCTTTGTTTCATAGAATTGCTGTAAGTTCAAATCCCATCAGCAGCAATAAGTTTTGGAATTTTTATGCTCTTCAGCTCTTTGAACTCTCAGCTTCAAGTAATGGTGTTTTTAAGTGATGTTGAATACAATACAACTCATAGTGACCCTTTGAACAAGAAATCTGAACCCTAGCCTGTCCTATACCATCCTGATCATCTCTGACACACGAACACATTGCTGCAGTCACTGTGTTAATCTATCTTTTTAAGGGTCTTCCTCTCTTTCACTGAACCTCTACCTTTCAAAAACTGATGTCCCTTTCCAAAGAATAGCCTTGACTAGCAACATGGTAAAAATATGACACGAAACTTTGTCATCCTTGCCTCCAAGGAGCATTATAGTTTCACTTTCTCCAAGACATATCTGTTTGTTGTTTTTGCAGTCCATGGGACATTCTGCAGTCTTCTCCAACACCACAACTCAAAGGCATAGATTCTCCTGTAATTTTTATTCATTGTACATCTCTCAGATACATAGCACCTAATTGGAAAGACAATTCTTTGAATCACGCATACCTTAGTCTTTAGATTAACATCATTGCTCTTCAGGACTTTAGAGAAATTCCTGACAGCAGCAGACTGTGGCAATGCTATACATTTCCAGATCTCTTGACTGCTAGTACCAATGGTGTTGAATCTGGATTCAAGCAATTCATCATTGAAAATTTCACTCTTTCCATCTATCACATGATGTTAACCATTGAGGAGGTGAAGATTTTTGTTTTCTTGATGTTTAAATGTAACTCATATTGAAGGTCCTTGATCTTTTGCATCATGTACTTCAAGTCCTCATTTTCAACAAGCAGGGTTGTGTTATCTGCATAGTGCAGGTGGCTGATGAGTCTTCCTCCAATCCTGATGACATATTCATCTTCATAAAGTCCAGCTCCTCAAAAAATTAGCTCAGGATACAAACTTAAGAGGTCTGGAGTTGAGATATAGCCCTAATGGACACCTTTCCTGATTCCAAGCGATGCAGTCTTCCCTTGCTGTGTTCATACAACAGCTTCTTGGTCAAAATTAAGTGTTCTGGAATTCCCACTCTTCTCATTGTTGGCCATAATTTGTTGTGATCCACCCACTCAAATGCCTTTGAATAGTCAATAAACCACAAATAGACATTCTTCTAATACTCTCTGCTTTCAGCCAGCATCTGACATCAGCAATGACGTACCTGTTGTTCTGACCTCTTCTAATCTTAGCCTGAACTCCTAGCAATTCTCTGGATGATCTTCAGCAATATTTTGCTTTCATGTGATAGTAATGATGTTGTTTGATAATTTCCAAATTCTGTTAAGCCATGTTTCTTGGGAATTGGAAGAAACAATAATAGATCTCTTCCAGTAAGTTGACTAGGTATCTGCCTTCCTAGTTTTTTGGAGCAGACTGGTGAGTACATCAAGGCTGCATTTAATGAGTGAAACCTGTCAACGAGTAACCCATCAATTCCTGGGGTGTTATTTTTTGCCAGTACCTTCAATACAGCTTAAACTTCCTGCATCACTATTGGCTCTTGATCATATGGTGCTTCCTGAGATATTTCCGTGTCAACCAGTTTGCTGTTGCTTTTTGTTTGTTTGGTGTTTTGTTGTTGTTGTTGTTTTTGTATTGTGACTCTGTGTATTCTCGCCATCTTCTTTCTCTATTTTTTGTTTGTTTTAGTTTTTAAATTGTTGGTATGTGCCATTGAGTTGATGCCAACTCACAGCAACCCTATGCTTCATAGCTCTGAAGCTTGCCCTATCCTGATCCAATCTTGTTCTCTCCCACACACCAGTTCCCTTTATCCTAATTATTATACTACTTTATCTCTTCCCGTGTCTTACTCTCTTGTGCTGTCCCTCCATCCTTCCTAACATGATATTCTTCTCCAAGGACAGTTCCCTCCTAGCAACATGCCCAATCAATGTCAGATGAAGTTTCAAAATTCTTGTCTCCAAGGAGCAACTTGGTTCACCCTCTCCAGGACAGACCTGTTTGTCCTTTTGGCAGTCCATGATATGTTCAATACTCTTCTCTAGCACCACAGTTCAAAGACTTCCATTATTCTTCTGTCATCTTTATTCATTGTCCAACTTTCTGATGCATAGCAAGTAATTCAAAGAGAGACCATGGCCTGGATCATGTGCACTTTAGTCTCTAGACTGACATCATTGCCCTTTAGCACCCTAGAGAGACCCCTGACAGCAGATTTTCTAGTGCAATTCATCTTTTGATTTCCTAACTGCTGTGCCAAGGGTGTTGATTATGGAACTGAGTAAGTGGAAATCGTTAACAATTTCAATCTCATCTCCATCCATTATGGTGCTGCTAATTGGCCCAGTGGTGAGAATCTTTGTTTTCTTTTTATGATTTTGATTTTCCTTTTCTTAATAAAATGTTTTCTTGTATTTGTCATTTTTAACTAAAGTTTACAGAAAAGTTTTCATTCACTTTTAGTTGCATATTTTACCTTCCTTCTCCCTCTTCCCCAGTTCACTTTTTTTTTAAATTTTTTTATTTTTGTGTGCGTGTACCGTCAAATCAGATCTGACTGGTACAGGAGGAGATTGTCCCTCCTTCCCCGGCAGAGCATCTGGTGGATTCGAACCATGTGCCTCTGGGACTGTAGTTGCAGCTCCTTGCCACTAGGCCACCAGAGCTCCCCCCCAGTTCACTTTTTAAAAAAAATATTTGTTCACTGTTGCATAATTACCTCTCTCTCTTCTCTCCCCAATGCTCTTTGCAATGTTCCTCCTATTCTGGGCTGTTGTCATATGTATAATGCCTAATCAATATATTGTTGTTGTTGTTTTTTTAAGTGCCGTCGAGTTGAGTATGACTCATAGTGACCCTATCAACAAAAGACCTGAACCCTGTCCTATAACTTTTGGGTTTTTATGTTCATAAAGTCTCCAGAGACATATGGTTTAGGAAGCGGATGCCACTCCTGCTTCCAAACCAGAATCAATCTGGAAGCACCAGCAAACACTGTCCATGAGGCATTTGACACTGTCCGTTATGGCATTTGACACACCTATGGCACAGCGTTTGGCATCACAGCAACCCCAAGTTTCTTCAGTACAGCAAATAGACCACTGTTGTACCACTTGGAAGAATGTTCACCCCAAAATCATGTAATACTAGGCCCAAGAGCTGCATGATGAAGGGCCCTACCACTTTTTAAATGCAGGTACGCCCACCAGCTGCTGGCTGACTGTAAACCAAAAGACTTCCAGTATAAATCTCATTGTTAGCTAAATCTGATAAATCCAATCAGCTGACATCTGATTGTGGACAAAATAAACCTAAAAAAGCAGCTGAATATTCTATACCCTACCCTCATGAAGAGATGAGAAACCATCTCTCAGAATCCAACTAGAGGAAAAATACAGCAATTGTCCCAGGCCTGATCACTCCTTGAGAACCCTGATATCATCTAAGGTGACCAGAGTAGAGACCAAAGCAAACACCAGACCAAAGACCAGACTAAACAGTGGATCCTGATAAGGCTCTGGGCCTGATCACAAAAGCCCAAACCCAAGATAATTAACAACCTCAAATTTAGAGAAAAATGCTATCTTCACTGGTTCTCCTTAAACCCTTTCCCCCCCTCTTTGCCTGTGATCGCGGTCGGCTCCCAGGCGCAGACAGGCAAGCGGTGCCAACATGCCGGTGGCCAGGAGCTGGGTTTGTCGGAAAACTTACGTGACCCCGCGGAGACCTTTCGAGAAGTCACGTCTCGACCAAGAGCTGAAGCTTATTGGCGAGTATGGGCTCCGGAACAAACGTGAAGTCTGGAGGGTCAAGTTTACTCTGGCCAAAATCCGCAAAGCTGCCCGAGAGTTGCTGACGCTGGATGAGAAGGACCCACGGCGTCTGTTTGAAGGCAATGCGCTGCTTCGGCGACTGGTCCGCATTGGTGTGCTGGACGAGGGTAAGATGAAGCTGGATTACATCCTGGGCTTGAAGATCGAGGATTTCTTGGAGAGGCGTCTGCAGACCCAGGTGTTCAAGCTCGGTTTGGCCAAGTACATCCACCACGCCCGCGTGCTGATCCGACAGCGTCGTATCAGGGTCCGAAAACAGGTGGTGAACATCCCATCCTTCATTGTCCGCCTGGACTCCCAGAAGCACATCGACTTCTCCCTGCGGTCTCCATATGGTGGGGGCCGCCCAGGCCGCGTGAAGAGGAAGAACGCCAAGAAGGGCCAGGCTGGGGCTGGAGCCGGCGATGATGAGGAGGAAGATTAGGCTCACCAGGGCCCTCCTGGGTGGGAAACGGTCTAGTGTACCAGCCAGGTGATACAATTAATTCTTGAATTATAATTAATAAATCAATTAACTAACAGAAAAAAAAACCCTTTCCCCCCCTTTTTAAAAATTTTTATTAAATTTTATTAATTTTCATGAACATTTAAAGAGATTTTGGATTTCCATTCATTCATTGTTGCACTTTTTTCTCTACCCCACCCCCTCCAGTTTGTTCCTCTTTTTTTTCCCTTGAAAGACTGTTTTAATTGTCCCATTTCCACAGTGCTTGTCAACGCCAGTTCTGATTAATCTCCTTTGTCAGTGTATCCTTTGTCATTCCCTATCACACCTCCCTGAGAGAGACTTCACCCTGATTCATAAGGAAAAGGGGATGGCGTATTCTCTTAGCTACTTCCTGCTGAAAAGGGATGCTGTAGGTTTCAGGGTGAAGATCTTCTCTCACTACTCTAAAGGGCCCCTTTGGCAATAGGAAACACGTAGACTATTGTGGAGATTGATTTTGGAATTTAGATGCACTGTTATCAGAGACCACCCTAGATTGCCTGTGCACCATTTTGACCTTATCCTCTTACGGTCACTTGGCCTCCCTCTCAGACCGTGTAATAAAGGCTTATTTGTTTCTTGGGACCCGTATCTTTCTTTCTCTTTCTTTTCCTCAACTCTTTTTCTATCTAACATTTGGTTCTCTGACAAGAAAATCGACCTAGCTGGGAAGAATGTCCATTCATAGGCTGAAACCTCCTTTCCATTTCTCCACAACTGGCCAACCTGGAGAGCAAGACTGCCTATCAAGGTCACTATGGCTTATCATCCACCAGAAAGTAACCCAAAGGCTACCTGCTTTCTTAAGCATTGGCTTGTGCAGCCTATGCCACGTGACTGGTGCAAGAGCCTGCCTGGGCTCTTTATTAGTCTGGCTTGTACCCTCCAAAATAGGCCAAACTTCTCCATCTGTCTTGTCCTTCTCTCCTCTCAACTTTCCTACTGGTCCCAAAAGACAAAGGCCATTTGCTATTTAAATCCAAAACACCCAACACCAGTTCTAATTCTCAACGACTTAAGGCCATTCCTCTGCCTAAAGTCATCCCTTGACATAAGAGCCAATGGTCACTCCCTGAGGCACCCAGGGACTGATCACTCCTCTTTCCCTCTCCCTCCTCTTGGGCCCCTGGGAGCTCCCTCCTGACACCTGACAAGAGGATGCTTTCTTGACTGTCAGAAGTATCTGTAGGCTTGGCAAGTTTCTGGCAGTCAGAGATGTCCAGTTCTTCCAAATTCTACAGGCCCTGGCTCTATTTTGCCCCAATATAGTGGGAGGACCTGATCCAGGGACAGTCCTTTGTTCTGCCTCCTCTAAAACTCGTGCACCTTTGGCATTATGCCTAATTTGCCTCCTCTAAAACTTGTACACCTTCAGCATTACATGTCTAATTTAAAGCATTATCAAAATTCTTAACCTAAATTTGACTCCTTTAATCCATCTGTCCTTCAAAACATAAGTACTGAAATGGCAAATGGTGAGAGGTTTCCTATATTCAAACTTTCTTTACTCTCCAGTTTCATCCATCTCTCTCTCTCTCTCTCTCTCTCTCTCTCTCCCTCTCTCTCTCCCTCTCTCTCTCTCTTTCTCTCCCCACCTCACTCTCCCTCTACCTCTCCTGCTCCCTCGCTCCCTCCATCTTTGGAGTCTTTTCTGATTCCATATTGAGGTACTTTGGAAACTGTGAAATTGGTTTCTGTCTCTCCTCTATGTAACCTGCCTCTCTCTCTGGCCTAAAGGCACCTAGAATGTGCTGGATTGCCCTAATTCTTTTCACTCCTCCATGGGTTTGATCCACCTCCTTAAACCTCTTTAAACTGCCAAGATGACATCCTTCCCCGGGGCTTTCTGCCTTTTATCACTGCTGACCTTCCAAACAACACTAGACCAATTTGGGGTAAGTAGCAGTAGTTCTCCTCTCTCTCAGGACTCCTGCTTTCTTCAGACTCTAAAAGTCCTAGCAATAGGCAAGGCAGATCCCTTGGCCCCCTGGACCTGTCTCTCCTGATACTGAAGACACCTGAGGACGAAAGGTAATTAAAAAACACCTTATTCACTTAAGTCTCTTTCTCACTCTCTGGCAACCCCCACTACTTATCCCTCCATCATGGGAGGCCACCAATCCTGCCTTTTCAGTACACCCCACTGGCGTGTCTCCTCTGCTCCCTTGATACTCTCTTATTGCAATAACACAGCATAGCCACAATATCAATTAAATAATAGGTATCAGTAGCCCTAAAATGGGAGATTCTAGTTCAAAACTCTGAGAGACTTAGATAATTTCTACTAATGCAATAGCAAATGGTCAAAAAAATCCCCTATATCCAGGGTTGGGGGTGGGGGAAAATCTCCTCTCTCCTGGCCTTATTTGCTCTCCACTCTGGCCTTCTGTCTGTTAAAACTGCCAATTTAGCAAATTCTTTTAACTCTTTCTAAGCGCTCTCCCCTTCCTGATCAAAACTCCCTCATTTTTTATCTCACTGATCTCTCAGCACCTCCTACCCTCCTGCTCTACCAACCACTGCCTTACACAAATGTAACCTCACCACAGAAGGCCCTCTCTGGCCCACTTCAGACTCAAAGCCCCTCTCCCCTTTTTCTCCTTTCAACCTCTGCCAAACCCAGCCTAAAACTACAGTTAAACTTTTTCACTCTGTCCTTTTCTCTCTCTGGCTCTCTACTTATCCTACTCAGCTTTTAAGCTCATAACTCACGCCTAGTTAAGAGAAAATCTTCTGCAAATAAAATATCTCTTCCTTTTCCAACCCTAACCTGCAAATAAAATACCACTTCCTTTCCTTCTCTAATCCCAAATGACAAAGCAAAATACTACAAGGAAATGTGCGAGGAACTAGAGTCAGAAAATCAAAAGGGCCGAACTCGCTCAGCATGTCTTAAGCTCAAAGAACTGAAGAACAGATTCAAACCTAGAGTTGCTGTAATCAAGGATGCTT